GCTCCTCAGAGGACTACAGTGAGGCTGTGTTATCACTCGACAGTCACACAGATCCCTCTGCTCCTCAGAGGACTACAGTGAGGCTGTGTTATCACTCGACAGTCACATAGATCCCTCTGCTCCTTAGAGGACTATAGTGAGGCTGTGTTATCACATGCACAGTCGCACAGGTCCCTGTGCTTTTCAGAAGATGATAATAAGGCTGTGTTATCACACGAACAGTCACACAGATCCCTCTGCTTCTCAGAGGACTATAGTGAGACTGTGTTATCACATGCACAGTGACATATAAGATGTTTGTTATGTCATGTGATAACACTAAGATATAAACTAAAAAGGATAGAATATTGAATGATCTCTTTATGAGGATATTAAAGGATCTTGTCAAGTTTTAAATGCTAGTGTGTGTCAGAAATGTTAGACAGAACTTATTCTCAAACTTGCCTTGCATTATGCCTGTCTCCTGAAATCCAATATTAAAAATCAAATACAAGTATGCCAACATTTCAGAAACATTTTTTTTCCAAATGGCACTTCAAAGTGCAACTTTAGTGACTACAAAATTTACTTCTTCCAATTATTTCTTTCTTCAAGGACACTAAAATAATTCAATGTCCCTGTACCTTTTAGCTCTGCACCCACTTCAATGTCACACCTATTTGCCACAACATCCCCACACAAACCAAGCTCAGTTACCTCCTATTTGCTTTTTAAGCCAAATTTGCAAATCACTGCATAGTTCCTGAGGAAAGTCAAAATAGTGTTTGCAATGAGGAACTGTGGCAGTTGTTTATTGTTTTAAAAGTCTAATACTGGTGCGGTGGCTCACGTCTGTAATCCTAGCACTCTGGGAGGCCAAGGTAGGTAGATTGCTTGAGCTCAAGACCAGCCTGAGCAAGAGTGAGACCCCCACCTGTAAAAAAAAATAGTTAGTTGGATGGCACCTGTGGCCCAAAGGAGTAGGGCGCCAGCCCCATATACCAGAGGTAGTGGGTTCAAACTCGGCCCCAGCCCAAAAGTGCAAAAAAAAAAAAAAAAAAAAAAAAGTCGGGTGTTGTGGTGGGCACCTATAGTCCCAGCTACTCAGGAGGCTGAGGCAGGAGGATTGCTCTACTTGCCCAAGAGTTTGAGGTTGCTGTGAGCCAGGGCCGTTGAGTGAGACTCTGTCTCAAATAAAAAAAAAAAGTTTAATACTGTAACTTATCTTTCTTAAGTTCTTTTTGAAGCAAAGCAAGTTCTTTCTAAGTCCTCTCTCATCTAATTCAGCATTCTGCTCAGTGCAGATATTTTTGATAAATATTTTATGTTGAACTCTAATGTCTGTCCATTCTAAATTCTGAAATAACTTCAGATTTCCTCACTTACCCAGACACCAGATAAACACCAGCATCTCCAGCTTCTGCAGAGTTGGCAATTGAGAACAGGTGATCAAAAGTCTCTCGGAACCACTGCTTCTGTTTATGAATGGGTGTGTCTGCAATCATGGAGAAAAACGAAGTGGAACAGAAAAGAAAATGATGATAATGACAGTGCCTCAGTTAAGCTCCGTCCTAGAAATGGAAGAACATTTACATAAAGCACCACAATGTGGTAGCAGCTCCATCAGCAACCAGAGTTTTGCCTGTGGACACATGCTGCCCGTGTCTGCTCACATGAAGATTCATCAGTAGAAGGCAGACAGGCCAGTCAGGGAGAAACCCACATGTGAGCCAGCGGGAAGGCAGTCCCTGGCCCCAGGTATATTCCAGAGGTCCTTGAAGGGTCCATAACTGAGCTGAGCAGAGGTTAGTTCATGGCTGAGAGACCCAGCTGGACACACAGTGGAGGCAATAGGACAAAGCACACAGGGCCTCTTTTCTGGGGGCTGAAACATAGTGGGTGATCTGCAGGGCCCACGTCAACCAGGGCAGAGAACAGATTGCAGTTGATGAGAAGCCCAGGGAGCTCAGTCCTGGTGCAAGGAATCAGGCCTGCAACGTGGAGATGGCTCCCAGGGAAGTGCCTGCTCCCGGCCAGATCTCCCTGCCGGGACTGCCAAGGACCAGCTCAGAGTAGCATTCCTGAGGTCAACAGTGGCAGGCAGGGGCCACACCATCCCCCAGGATCCCTGCTAGAGCACAGGGGGTTGGACCTGGACACAGCTTCTTGAAGGGTGCCAGGCCTGTCAGGAAGGAAACAAGAAGCAGAGTTTGAGCCTCCAAATAATAGTGTCCAGTGCAGGTGCAGAGAGCCGGCATAACCCAAAGTTACAGACGAATCTAATTGTAGGTGAAGCTTGTGGCCATCTGATTGATTCCCGTGGAAGGGTCATGAGAGAGACCCTTGGAAACATCCTGCCCCCCACACAAAGCCCCTAGGTCAATAAGGGCGTTTTAGTAGTAGAGTTTTAAATCAATTCCCTTGTTACAGAGCCAGTAAATATTTCTTAGTAGTGGATCTGTACTGTTGTCTTTCAACACGTGCCATGTGAACTCAACTCTATATTCCAAAATGGCCGACCAGGGCTGCTGATTAAGAGATAAGGGAGAAATAAATAATATGCTGCAGAGAAAACTAAATTAGACTTCAGATGACGTGTGTCCCTCTGATCCAACGTATTAGCCTACGTTGAAATGTAGCCCTCTGTCCCCACCTCAAGGCTGAAAGACAAAGCAGGGGCTGAGATTCACATGCTACAGAAGTCACCTCCCAGGAATTGACCTGGACGAGTTCTTGAATCTGCAATGCCAAGGTTACTGCCCTCACCACTCAAAAACACTACCAGGCAGATAAAGGTCACCACACAGCCAAGGAAAACCTCTATCATGAAAAATGAGGACGTCAATTAAAACACAACTTGGAGATGACAGAAACTGTGCAGGGAAAAAAACCTATATCAGTATCTTCAGAAAGATAAAAAAGTGCATTGTAACCATACAACACAAATAGGGTGTTATAACAAAGGGAAATTTAGAGAATAACAACAAAAATCTTTGGAATATTTAAACTGTTATAGTAGAAATAAAAAATTCAGGCAGGTGCTCGGTGCCCGTAAGACAGTGGTTACAACGCTGGCCACATGCACCGAGGCTGGTGGATTCAAACCCAGCTTGGGCCAGCTAAACAACAATGACAAATTCAACGAAAAAAATAGCCAGGCATTGTGGTGGGTGCCTGTAGTCCCAGCTACTTGGGAGGCTGAGGCAAGAGAATCACTTAAGCCGAAGAGTTGGAGATTGGGTTGCTGTGAGTCGTGATGCCACAGCTCTCTACCCAGGGCAATATAGTGAAACTCTTGTCTCAAAAAACAATTCAGGCAGGATGAGATGGCTCATGCCTGCAATCCAAGCACTCTGGGAGGCCAAGGTGGGAGGATTCCTTGAGCTCAGGAGTTTAAGACCAGCCTGAGCAGGAGTGAGATCCCGTCTCTACTAAAAATAGAAAGATTAGTCAGGCATTGTGCCGGGTGCCTGTAGTCCCCTACTCGGGAGGCTGAGGGAGGAGGATAGCTTGAACCCAGGAATTTGAGTTGCCATTGCACTCTAGCCTGGGCAACAGAGTGAGACTGTGTTTCAAAAAATTAATTAATTAGGGTGGTGTCTGTGGCTCAAAGGAGTAGGGCGCCGGCCCCATATGCTGAGGGTGGTGGGTTCAAACCCAGCCCTGGCCAAAAACTGGAAAAAAATATCAAAATATTAATTGATTAATTTAAAAGGAAGAAAGAATAAATTTAATAGTGAGGAAAAAGATAAAATTGAGAAAATCTCTGAGATAGCAAAATAAAGAGAAAGAGAGAAATAGCAGAACAGAAAGGCTGAAAGAATTGGTGGCTCCAAGTCCAGGAGTCCTCCTATGACAGCAATTCCAGAAAGAGAGACAAAGGTGTCAGAAGGAGGGCTTTAACAACTGAGTCCAAAGACTGCTTCCTGGACCGAAGAATGTGAGTTTCCTGATTGGAAGGACAGGCAATTCTCTTATTCCAGACTGTTGCTTTTTGTAATCAACACTGTAAATTACTTGACTATGTAAAATACCTGCATACACAGGGCGGCCATAAAGTTCGTGTGTAGTTTTAAATTGCACAAGAACTTTGTGTCCACCTTGTATAACTTTGATAAAAAATGACAAGTAAAATTAAAGGGAAAAAGAGAGTGTAGATGAGGAAGTGGGGCCAGTGAGAATAAGCCCAGTTAGCTGCAATGTGATCTTGGTTAATGCCATTCCCTCCTCCTCTCACTTAATGTGCAGAATACAGGATGCAAAGGATGTGTGGATGTGTTAAAAAATCAGTGCCTCTGCAGGCCTAACTACACACTCACCAATCGTCCTTATCCTCACTTAGAACTTAGGATAATTTCAATGGGACTTAGAGCCCCATCGTTCAGTCCTCAGGGCTGGTCATCCAGTGCTTCAGCTGTGCCTTCTGGGAGCCTCTGGCACTTCCCCGCCTCCTTCTAAGGGGCGGGGACAAGTGACTAGCTTTGCCAATGAGCTGTCATCAGAAGTGTTAAAAGTCACTTTCTGACCAGAGCATTTTATCTTGAGACCGAGAGCCTCCAAGCTCCCTCTTGGCATGGGTGCCTGGATGGCAAGGCCCTTGATGCTCAACCCACATGCCCCACGGGCAGGACAAACCTTTGCTTGCCAAGCTGCTAAGATTTGATGTTGTTTTTGTCCTGTGGCATAACCGATCCTTTCCTTGGAGGTGACCCAGCAGGATATTAAAACTGCATGTTGCACTCCCACACACAGCCAGCTGTCTCTGTTGGCAGAAGTCCACCAACACCATTCCCCCTGACATCTGTCATCTCTGACAGAAGAGCTGAAATCTTTCTCACCTGGATAAGCGTGAGGAATAAGTATCCCGGCTGCCACGTCACTGGTGGTGTCAGGACTCAGCACGTCTGAGATGACGGTGACAGAGCAGCGGGGGGCCAGTGTAGAAACGCACACCGCAGTGGAAAGCCCCACCAGGCCGGCCCCAATCACTGCGATCCGTGCCGTGTCCATGGGCCTGTGAGGAGGGGCAGGTGGCTGTACTCCAGGTTTATTCTGTCAGACAAAGTGGCCCTTAGAGTCCCTTCCTCCTCAGGTCTTCGGCTCCTCAGAAAAACACCCCTCCTGTTGGTGTTTCTTTTTTAGTTAACCTGCCCCCACCCACTCTGGGCCCTGTCGGTGTCCCCGTGGGATAAAGAGAACATCTCTAAGCTGTCTCTCTTTAAATACTGGGATATGGGCAGCAAGGTCTCCGTGGGTGATTAGACGTTAGCACAGAATTGGACTGGATTTGCCTTTGGAACACACGGTGAATTAGCAGGTCTGTATTTGGGGGAGACTTCCACTCATTCTGCCTCCTTTCCTAACCTATTTTCCCATGGGCACAACCAGGGAAGGTTGGTGACTTGAGCCAGGGGTCTCCGCTCCAGAAGCCACCTGAGGAGCAGCCAGGAGTGGGCGTGACCTCTGAGCAACTTAAAACTGTTTGCAAATGTGCTTTTAAGGATAAGGACATTACAGAAAATTGAAGCAACTGAACTCATCATGTCCTTGGCCATCTGCTCCTGTCACTGTCCCCACCCTGTACCCCCCTCCTAAGCCGCCCCCCAAGAGCATGCTTCCAGATAAGGACAACTGAATTCCTTCCCGGACTGGTTCTATACTCTGGGGAGAGGCCCATGGTCTCCTGGTCTCCACGGCTTCATCTGGAGAACAGACTGGAGAGGTTCCTTATTGGTGCCTTTAGTTGGCAAATAAGACAGACCCACGGAGGTTGTTTTGTATCCTGAGCTCCTGTGATAGTCTGAGTGGAAGTGCAGGAGCCCGGGCTGGGTGTCCCGAGACTGGCACCGTGTGGGGCAGAGTTGCTGAAGGCTCCACACCTGCCCATACCCTCCCCCTCTGCCGACTCCCCTACCTGTCTTATCACATCTGTTTGTGCTCTCTAACTCTCTCTGTGTGGCTCAGGTTTAAACCCTGGAGACAGAAAATGCAATTGTCTCAGCTGGCCATTGTCACCCCTGTTGGACAGAACTCCAACCTCAGACCAGCCAATTGGCCTAACCAACCAATAAATCTGCCCTCAGAAGAGTTGCCCACCTCTGTCCAAAGAGCAGTCAGTGGCCGTGCCGTGCGGCGAACCAGGCGTCCCTCACACAAGAGGTGCCTTTCCTCTGGAGGGGTGGGTGGGTGGACTGTCCCTCTGCAGGGGCTGTGGGCAAAGGTGGGCTTGGCTATTGATGGCTTGGCTTTCTCTAACAGTTCTGAAGATCCTGTGTACTTTGAGACTTTAAAGCCCTCCAGTGAGGTTTAACTTTGTTATTTCTACTCCTCAAGCAGTCTATGCATTTCCACAGCCATTTGTTAATCTGGTTTCTGTCCCACAGGCTGACCGCTGAGAGGGAGCAGGCCTGCCAGGGCCAGGACAGGCCCAAGGAGCACAGCCCCTCATGTGCTCCCAGGAGGCAGCAGGCCGCCACCTAGGCCATTATTGGCTTCCCTATTTCACATCGGCCTTCTCTGTCCAGCGATTCTCTCAAAATAGATCTAATAAATGGAGAGGGAAAAAGATCTATAGCTAAGAATAACCAGCTGCCAGGGAGGAAAGGGGTGAGTTGCCAAGGTGGGTGCATCCAGGCATAGCGACTTGTCAATCACTATCCCCTGACCCTATTAAGACACACCCCAAACTCCCAGAGTGTGGACAGAATAACCCTTGAGCCAAAAGCAGGAAGATTCAAGTACCTGTCACTGAAAAAGCAGTCTTGAAACCCACAGAAGGCTCTGGCACCAAAACTTGTTTTCCAGTGACTGGTTAGTCTAATGCCCCAAGAGACAGAGGGAAAGTGAAACTGCTTCCCATTGGGGAGTTTATTAGGGACATTCCCTCTAATCTTACTCTCCACTGCCCATACGGCTCTGTCTCTGTCACTCATTACCCTGGAAAAAAGAGGAAGTGACCTCACCTCATGAGCTGGGGGAAGCTGTGTGACTGCCCAGCCCCAGGGAGCTGGTCCCTCCCAGTAGCCCTTCCCTTTCTGGGCCACAGCACTGCATCTTACCGCCAGCCTGGGATTTTTCCAGCTGATTCGTAGGGGTGGTAAACATCGGGTGAGTCTGTCCAACTTCCAGCAAGTTGCAGCCAGAAGCATTCACTGGTTGCCGCGTGTGGCTGCCCAGTGCGATCTGCAGTCTCCTGTTGGGTGCCTACTGCTGCATCTGCTGGGGTGGGGGTCCGGGGGTGGGTGAGGGCAGAGTAATGTCACTAAGATGATGACCCGATTAGAGCTGGAAAACTTTTCAGGAGATAATCTAGGCCAGGACCCAAGTGATTCTTTAGCCCACATGCTCACACAAGGGAACCAATATTTGCCCAGTGTCTACTATGCAGTTGGCGCTGCACACTTCGCAGTCAAGTTTGTGTGTAGGCAGGTGGTTTGATGTATCAAAATAAGTTTGATAATATTTTAGTCCTATACATTTAACTATGTGCTAGACATACGTATGACACCATATCAAGCAACTACCCTAGGATGTAGGCGCTTTTAATATTATCCCCATTCTACAGAAGAAGAAACTGAGACTCCAAAACAACAAGGGCGGGCCCAAGGAATCTTCAGTGATCAAGCCCAATCTGACTATCAGACTCCAAGGCTCAAGCTCTTACCCAAAACATGCACTTTTAGTGTCAGGAGTCTGAAAAGGTTAACCCTGAGTAAGTCACATGACTCCTGGGTTTGCTTCTCCATCTGAAAATCGGTAATGAGCTAAGATTTTCCTTGCAAGTAGTTGTGAGGCTCTGATAAGTTAAAATTCTTGGAATTTTAGATGGAATAAAGAGATAGAAGGGGGAAAAAACAAACAAACAGTTTTTTCTCCTACTATACTTACATTCTCATAGTCACTTGATACAGAACATTCCTGCGGCCAGATGTGCGGGGGCTGTTTCCCCATGAGCTAAGCAATCAGTTCTGAAGATTCTCTAGTGGACATCAGCTGGGTATACTCCGATTCAATTCAATTCTGACATTAGCTCCCTTATCTGGAGATGGTATCAGATCCCACAGGTTGAGGCCAAATTCCACAAGACTACTCCTCTATTTCAGACGCCAATCACAAGCCCTAGCTGTGGCCTATGCTTCTGCCCAACAAACTATAAATTGGGGTTCCCATAGCACCTCCTCACATGCAATTGATTAGGGTTCAATTTGCAAAGAGGTTCGAGAACTCAGGGAAACACTTTACTTACATTTGCCAGTTTATTAACAAGGACATAACAAAGGATAGACATGGGCAGCCAGATGGCAGGGACACCCAAGGCAAGGCCTATGGGAAGAGGTGCAGAGCTTCCGCACCGCCCTGGGTGCCACCCTCCAGGAACCTCCACGTGTTCAGCTATCTGGAAGCTCCTTTGTCCTTTTGCTTGTTTGTTTCTTATGGAAGCTTGTCTACTAGGTGTGATTGATTAAATCGTTGGCCATTGGTGATCAACTTCACCTTTAGCCCCCTCCCCCCTCCCCAGAGAGGTAGGTCTTTACAAGTGAACAGGCCTCATTCTGAAGCTGCCTAAAGGCCACCAGAAATCTCATTAACATACAAAAGATAGTCTTGTCACTCTGGAGATTCAAAGGGTTTTAGGAACTGTATGTCAGAAAACACCTGGATGAAGATTTAAAAATATAGACTTCACAATAGCACAGGTGGTGTCATATTTTATTCAGCAGCTATTATAAAAAAACCAATCAAGACATTGCCCAAAAAATATTGCAAGGGCAATAGAAGTGATTTAAAGGTTTCTTTCTTTCTTTCTTTCTTTTTTTTTTTTTTTGAGACAGAGCCTCAAGCTGTCCCCCCTGGGTAGAGCCGTGGTATCACAGCTCACAGCAACCTCCAACTCCTGGGCTCAAGTGAGTCTCCTGCCTCCACCTCCCAAGTAGCTGGGACTACAGGCGCCC